TCGATTAATGAGTATATGTAGGGGTTCCCGCACGTCCCTTCATTAAGGTAGAGAAACTCCAGTCCCTGACTGGCTGGTTAAATTCGACCAATCCGATTTCAGGAAGCCTTTTCTCCCTTATTGTAGGGACAACACATAGGTATGTTAGGGCCCATGATAGAGTTATCAAGGATGCGGAATCAATTGAGGGCTATATGTTGGGATTTCCTTATAACACTTCATTGAGATCCTGAAGTGAGATTTTCAAAATTTTGAATTGAAGTTTTTGGGCCAAGGAAGGTATTTTCGGGAAAATAACGGTATTTCGTGAAGGTTGACGAAACCAAAGCGGGCTCGGGAATTCGAATCTGAAGTCAGATTCTCCAAACTTTGAATTGAGTTTTTAGTATCAAGGAACGGGTTTTTCGAGAAAATAATGAAATCTTATAGAGGTTGACGAAAGGAAGTCAGCGTCGAGGAATCCGAATCGGAAGTGAGATTTTCAAAAAGTAAAATAGTGGTTCGTACGGAAATAATATTTTTCTTTTTGGATCATTTTTAAGGAGGAAGCAATTTGTTGGGAAAAGATTATTTAAAAAAAGGGAGCTCGAATTTCGGAAACGCGTTTTGTCTATCTAGAATATACAATTACTCTATAGTTTCGGTTCTCTTTTCACAGTATCTTTATAGGTGAAAGTCGGAGTTTGGCCTAGTGAGGTGGGCATTTCATTAAGTCCCATTGTGATAAAACAATGTTTACATCCTACTGACTTTCATTTTGATGAACACAACATTGAGCGATTCCTGTTTATTTTCAGTGGTTTCCATGTTAAATGGCTTTTTTCTGCAGACTTTATTTAAGTCGAAAGAAGAAGCATGAAAAGAATACTTTAAGCGAAGTTCAAGACTGTAGGGCAAGTGCAAAAGAATCAATGATTGTATCGATGTGCTGAAAGAATGCAGCAAGAGAATATGAAAAGTGTATGAGAGAGATACCTGCCAGCAACGAGCGACTACTGTTGTAATCGTCTTTTAATGTAGTTTGACAAAATAACAACGCGAAGTCTACATTTATGAAGAATAATTTATTAAGATAGGCTAAATCAAGCGCTCTAATCAAACTCGAATTTATTGACTGAACAATGAGGTTGAAAAAATTAAGAATAAACAATAAGAATGCGTTGCTTCGGAGTAGCCGATCTTGAGTCATCATGTTGTAAAGCTAAAAGTTTTTTCAAGTAATGCCAATCTGACGTTTAATAGGGTTTAAATGAAAAGAATTATCTCGGAGTAGAATAAGATCACAGGTGGTAGCAGCTAGCCGCGTGTGGCACCCCAAAGGGGCACCGACGAGCGACTGGCTGCTGCACTGGCTTTACTGCCGAAGCGTCGCGTCGAAGTATTGGAATTCATTGAATTAAAGTCAACAGACGCGGTAAAATGAGTCTGAATAAGGAATATCAGATACATAAAGTCGAAAAAACTATGTCAGGTCAAGAATGTGTTAGGCTCTCGTTGCGAGAAATGAGTGACTTCTGCCCCGGACTATAGCTCAAGACGGAATACTAAGTCGGAAAATCCCAGGCCTGCTCTGGGAACGAGAACACAAACGTAAAAAGAATGAAAAAGACTTACCTAGTCTTGACAGGATCAATGAGAATAATATATGGGGATGTATATGGTTTTATTGTAAATAAAACCATAAGGAAAATATAATGATATGGGGGATGTGAGACATGAAGAAAAGGAAAAAAAAGATCAACAAGAAGAAGATGGAAAAAGGGAATGAATCATGACATGAGAAAATCACAAGAAGAGAAGGATAAACACTGGATAGTCCATAGAAGATATATATATGCACATATGGAGAGGAAAGGAAAGACTAATAATATATAACTGAACGTTAGCGGTAAGAGAGTGACCTCTATTGACGCTAACAGAATGAGAAATGACTTTTATGTTTGAACACAATACCTGAATAGTTCGTCGAAATAAAGACATTACTGGAAGAATTTATATTTGCTGTATCGTAGTGGACATGAATGAAATAAAAGAGTGTTTCATTTGGTATATATTTTTCATTGTATTAATTCAAGTATCAGAATTTTTACTGGCACATTCAAATAACGTGTCTATTCTTATCACTGCTTTGAATAAGAGCTTCTTGTGTATAAGATGTTTTAATTAGAGATCAGAGATAATATCATTCATTTTTAGTTAGGGTTACAGGAAGCTCCTACTTTCCTAGAGAACTCTATATTAAATAGTATTATCGACGAATGTTGCAAATGTATACAAATTTCTAGTAGAATTTTCCAAAAATTACTCCGCGTTTTCGTATAACTGTTGTGAACTTTTATTATTACATCTTCTGTGAAAAAATGGAGTATGATATCTTGTTCAGTCGAGGGCTAAGCGAGTCGAAGCGACGAACGTTACTTGTCACGTAGCTCCAGGTTTTTTAAATGCTGAATGATGTTTAAAGTATAACGGTTGCACATTAAAAATAAAGCAAGGGATATTCAAATGCATACATACGCCTACCTACATAATTCATACACTCGGAGAAAAAAATCACTCATGGAATTCCTTGTAGGTTCGGTAGCAGATACGGAATCCAAAATGCTTCTTTTTATGAACATACCAGGAGAACTTTTGCCACGATACCATTTTCAGATCTTTAGGATGCGAAAATGTTTTGTATAAAAAAACTAAAACCATCTCGCTTCTAGATGAAACTGTAAAGGCCTCGTGTGCAATATGAGGGTGTAGTTGTAGGTACTGTGTATCTCCTAGCCTATTCACAGTTGACACAGCCATACCCGCCGCATACATGTACATCGATAATGAGTGCGACATATTAAATGGTTCCCTTATTATTTTGGCGACATATCTTTGAATTTTCATGCGGTTGAATTAATTTGTTTCTGAAAAGGGTGTGGGTGTGGGGTTATATGGGGTGAGCATATGGATGAGTATGAGAGAGTCAATCTAGCCTTTCTGTTCGTGGTCACAGTCAGAACGATACGCACATTCATACGTACATTTACACTCATACCCCACACCATCACGCTCTCCCGAGTTAGACACTTCTGGAGAGATTCAACTGAAAATGGAACCTTTTTCTACAAGTTTTACGTAGTATCATATCTTATCTACTTTTCAGATACTTTCGACAATACGATAATTATGCTGATTGTATTAACTGTTCTCATGTGAGTTATTCTCGATTCATTTGAAATATTGAATATTAGTTCATTTAATTGTTCAGGTGCATTGCAAGCATAGAAGGTGCACAACATTTATCATTCATATCTTGATCTCTTTATCTTGATTATTAAACAGGGCAAATTCCAGCTACCTCCCAATGTCAGCCTTCCACATGTGGCACTCGAGTAGTACCATGTTCAACCAACTATGAGTGTGAATGTTTGCCACTTAGTTTAAAAATGGGTGGCGTATGTGCTATTGCGCTATTCTCTTGCTCAAGTTTTGCATCTTGTTTGAGTGACAATATGACATGCGCAGTACCTTATACTGTATGTGTTAGCAGCACTCGCTGTGCCAAGTCAATGTGTTATCCACTAGCACTCGCCGCTCCTGAAGTGTGTCCCCCGCTAAATTCGACTTTGCCTACATCAAAAATGACCACATCGACAGGTATTTGTAATAAATTGTTTTTATTTGAAAAGAAAAGTAGGTATATTCAGATTTCTAAAACAGGACATTATCCTAGTTTTCAACGTTCTAATCAGTTCGGTTACTACATACTCTTGCAAATCAGAAAGATTTAATAGCATCAAGAGCTTCAGATATTTCGGAAATTCTTATAGTATAAGATATGTTCTTAATTAAATAATTCTTGGAGTGTCAAAAGATTTGAAAACCGAATCACATCGTGCAACATCGAGCAATTCAGTATATAAAAATCTTGAGCGTTCTCAAACTGACGATATTTTCTATTTCGAAGTTTTGAATATCGATGTAACATCACCCAAAATCATGGATGATGTTGCGCTATTGATTTTTTGAACCATATGTGCATTTATCTGCGTTATTTAATGCAGCATTGAGAGGTAAAATTAGTAAGGATCGTTAGAGTAGTAGTCGCTTCGTATGTTAGGCAGTTATGACTAGGTTGTGCCCTGGAAGTTACCATTAAATGATGCACTTATGGAAGGATTATCTTAAACCTTTTATCAGTGGTTCTTCTAAATTCTATGACAACTGATACACCTGTAAAAAAACTGACGAATATTACACTAGAGGCATCTCTAGTGCACAAATTTTCGATATCGTTACTATAAGAATCTGAAACTCATACACCATAGCAGTAACAATACGCTCGACAACGACGTTGATAAAACCACAGACATTTACGACAACAACGAAACTCACAACAACGACGACACGGTCGACAACGAAACTCACAACAACGACGACACGGTCGACAATGAAACTCACAACAACGACGACACGGTCGACAACGAAACTCACAACAACGACGACACGGTCGACAACGAAAACAACACAACCAACAACACGATCGACAACAAGAATAATAGCAACACAAACAACAACATTAACAGTAACAACAACATCAACAACAGTAATAACAATAACAACATCAACAACAATGACAACAATAACATCAACAACAATAATAACAACGCGCTCAACAACAACAATCCGTGAGTAGACCGTAAATGAAGTGTTACACCAAAATTCATATAGCCCGCCACCCGCCCCCCCCCCCCACACCACCCCCCCCGACA